ATATAATATAGATACATATTGCTCAGATTATTTCCAGCCTCTTCCCGGTGTTTCCCATAAAAATGGGATGTGCAGATGCGTCTTCTCCCCTTGGCATGATGTTGGGGGGAAGGATGGGGGTCAATCTTAGGGAGGGGTGCGATGGGCACCCACTCTCTCCCTCTCCCTCTGCTCCTCAGGGCCTCCGGCCGGCGGATGTCCAAGGTGGTCAGGGATTTTCTTTATGCCCAGAAAGTGCAGGCGCCGGTGGAGATTTACTCGGAGTGGCTGAGCGTGGGCCACGTCGATGAATTCCTTACCTTCGTCCCTGCTTATGATAGGAAGGTACAGGTCCCTGGAGCCATCCCTGCTCCTATGCTGGGCGTCTTCCGCAAATGCAAAAAAAACCCCCAACCCCTTTTTGCAGTTGCTTCTCCTCCCCGGGGGGCGCTGGGTGATGCACCTTCTTTTGGGGTGGCTTCGTGGAAAATGGCAAGCGCCTGGGCGGCATTCCCTGCACCCTGCGATGCCTGGGGCTGGGTTTGGGATCAGCGCGGTGTCTCTCAGCAGGACAGTGGGATAAAATATCCCCCACTGACAGCAAAGCGTGACCCCCCTGGGCTCTCTCCCGCAGGGTTTCCGGCTCCTCTTGGCCAGCCCCAACGCCTGCTACAAGCTCTTCAAGGAGAAGCAGAGGCAGGGCCACGGCGAAGCTACACAGCTCGTCGGTAAGGGAGTGGGCGAGGGTGTCCCTACGGCGTGGTGGCGACCACCGGCATCCCTTACCAGTGTCCCTCACCGCTCTGCTGCCCTCCCCACGCAGGGCTGAAGGGCATCGAGAGGATAAGCATCGACGAGATCCTGGCAGATGAGTCGTTGAAGAATGACAACAGGCACGTCCAGGTGGGTCTCTGCAGCCATGGATTTGGGTGGATTTGCTCTCCCCACTTGCACATCGCTGCCAGGTGATTTCTGGGCACAGGGAACATTTTTAGAGATCCTGGGCAATAGCAAGAAACCGTGGCATGAGTTGCACTGTGCAGTGTGAAAGCAGGCGGGCAAGAAGAGCAGCCACGGAGGAGCCCAGGCACCCTTGGGTGCTGATTCACCCTGGCACATTGTCCTGCTGGGAGATGACTGCAGGGGTGTCAAAACCAAAGGAAAGAGGTTGCTCGGGCTGGGGATGACTTCAGGAGGTTGCTCCGAGGGATGAGATGGGATGAGATGCAACGGAGCGGGTGAGGATCTGGGCAGGATGCAACGGGGCACCCAGGGCCCTGCATGGGATATGGGGGGCTGGGATGGCCAGGGGTGGCAATTGCAGGTCCCCCCTCTCTGCAGCGCTGCATCGACTGGAACCGCGACCTCCTGAAGCAGGAGCTGGGCCTGAGCGAGCAGGACATCATCGACATCCCCCAGCTCTTCGTCCTGAAGGGCTGCCGTGCGGACGCCCTCTTCCCGGACATGGTGAGACCTCCGGCACCTCCTCCCCTCCATCTCCTCTTTTTCCGTCCACACCTGATGCAAATGCATCTTTTGGGTGGAACACACTGATTTTTTTGGTCTCGTTGCAGGTGAACATGCTGGTGCTGGGCAGGCACCTGGGCATCCCCAAGCCCTTTGGACCACAAGTGGGTGGGCAGTGCTGCCTGGAGGAGCGGGGGCGGGCGCTGCTGGAGCCCCTGGGCCTCACCTGCACCTTCATCGACGACTACTTCTCCTACCACGTCCTCTCCGGTGACGTCCACTGCGGCACCAACGTCCGGCGGAAGCCCTTCGCCTTCAAATGGTGGCACATGGTGCCCTGAAGCACGCGACGACGGGCTCGCGTCCTGCAACCGGAGGATGAAGGTGCATTGGGTGCATCAGAAGATGCACCAAAATAAAGGGTTTCACCATTAAAACTGCATGAACACCAAGGGTGCAGCTCTTCCCCGTCTCCCATCCTTTCTTCCTCTGCTGTTGGGTTGAAAATACCCTTTGAAACCTTTTTTTAAACACATGGTTTGTTATGGGAATGGTGGTTTTATGGGATGAGGACAACATGGGGCATCTTTGGGAGCGTGGTGCATGCAAGTCAGCCGGCAAGGAGGCTGCTTTGGGGGTTTGAGACCCCACCCCACTGCTAAAGGGTCTTACAGTCCCTTATCCCAGGTTTGTAGCTAATAATGCCCCCCCAACTCCCTGTATCAGGCAAAAAACCACCTCCCACGGGGGAGGCCAGCTCTTTGCCCCGGCATGGCGTGGAGGCAGAGCCCCCTCCTCCTGCAAATCGTTTTATACCTTCCCCAATGAAAAAATTTCCTTTTCCCTTTGCAGCCGCCCCAGCCGCTCTTTCTCTCCCTCTTTTCATCGCAAACGAAGCGCGGCATTTCCCCGTACCGAAGTGGCACCCCTGCCCGTCTCCTGCCCACGCTGCCCTCACCCAGCAGGAACCAGCACCAGGAACTGAAACCAGTCCCCTACCTCGGGCATCGCTTAGCCCTGGGCAACCCCGGGAGAGATTATGAGGCTAAAACCACTTTTTTGGGGCAATTTACTTTTCTAGCAGTACTTTTTGAGATGTAAAAGCTTAGCTATGCCTCCAGTGATGCGATATTTGCAAGTGGTGCTGGAGAATTGTGGGGGCATGCTCCCAAAAGTGTCATGCATCCCACTTGGCACCCCTCTTCTTGCCCAAAAAGATGATTTCTGACCCCGTTTTCCCTGCAGTTAGGGCTCTGCTGAGTTTCCCCGGCCCTGAGAAGCGATATTAAATTCCAGCAGCGCATGACCCTGCAGGGAGTTGGTGGGGGGACAGCTGCATCTGCAAAGGGCTCTCCCACGCTGAGACGAGGATTTAATTAAAACAAAGACGATTAAAGCTGCGGCAGGGTGCAGGGTCTGCTGCCCCCACCGCAGGTGACATACCGACCCCCTGGCCCATGCAGCACCCAGGGGATGGGGCAAGCACCCAGCTTACACCTTCACCCCCCCTAAAATAAAAATTAAAGCAAATTTTTCCAGCTAGTCAAACAAAACCCTTTAGGAGGAGAAATAGAACCCCTCCGAGGCCGGCGCTGGCACGTCCCCAGCTCGGCTCCAGTGTCACACTGAATATTTTACGGCGTGGGTTTAAGGGTGCCTTTCTTTGTGCTAAGGGGAAAAAAAACCAACCCACCCCCGAGCTTCTTATAAAGAAAAAAAAAAAAAAAACCAAA